GATACAGTAAAAACTTAAGGGTACAAGTGACCCAAACCCAAAATATTTGGCCAATTCATTATTATCTAGAAAATAATACGTCCAGGTGCTAGGTAGCGACAAATGCCCCGCCTAGGGCCTAGGTATACAATTATACATTCAAACTAGGGGTGGCTATACGGTCCTGTCCGGTTAAATTGGACCAAATTGATCCGGTCTCAGTCTGGTCTTTTTTCGAGAATATAAGAACCAAAAATTGGATTGGATACACTCCGGTCTTGATCCGGTCCGGTCTTGACCCGATCCGGTACCAATTTGATTTTGATTTTAGATTGAGCTTGTGGGGATTTGAGTGTTGAGGTCTCTTATCCGGTCTTTATCCGGGTTTTTTTTACCTCAAATCTAAGCCCGAATATGAGATTGGATTGTTTGCTATCAGGTCCCAGTCCGGTCCCGATCCGGATTATACGGTCCTGTTTCAGGTAAAACCAAACAATCCTGGACCAAATTGCCAGCCCTAATTCAAACGCCTAGGAGCTGCCTAGACACCACCTAGGCGGAGTTAGGCGCGCTTAATCACAGCTATGCGGTCTAGCGACTAAAGATTAAAAAAAAATTTATTAAAATTTCCCAACATGACGTCTTTCTTATGTTCGATTAGTTCCTCCCAAGCCCCAACCACCCGTCCTACACATGCCATCCTTATGTTTGATTAGTTCCTCTCCCGTTTTTGTGAAGGCAAAGATGAAGCAGAGTGGGATTGTCTCTGGTGTTCTTGGTTGGTCTGATTGGTGACATAATGTCAGGAGTCCAATTGTTGCTCATAAACTACAATAACCTTCATTTTCTGTTTTTTTTTTGTACGAAATAGATGTTTTGTTAAACTCAAATATATCTATTTGTTGGGACAGGAAATAACGATGTACTCGACATGTCCAAAGTGATATGATCTCAAATGGTCAACTATACAAGTTCAAATTACTTGACGAAGAAGCTATCGAAGTTGGGAAGAAGAAAGACAGAATTTGGTTAAGTGTTGGGACATTTTCGAGATGCCTACTTTGGAGGCATTGTTCTCACAATTGGCTCACTTAAAATTAGAGATCAAGGGCTTGTTTTAAAGATAAAGTTTCCATGTTTCCAATGGTATGTTTTGTGGATCCAGATGATGTCATTAAGGTTGTTTTCCAAGGCCTAAAAGTTGCTACCTCAAAATTGGAAAACTGCCAGAAAATGACCAAGGCAGAAAAGTGTTTTGTGAAGCCTACTTTGGAGCTTAATTAGAGGAGTATGGATCTTATTCAAGTCCAAAGCCTTCCAAAACATAAAACTAGGTATGTTTATGTACAAAGGGAAGGAATTGGATGAATAATTGGAGTTCGTGAAGGCTTCGAACCAATGGCACGGAGTTAGTACGAAAGCTGTCTTTTGACTGTTTGCTGTCAGTTTTCTTGTGCTTCAAGAAAGGGAGTTTAAATCTGAATTTTGTGTCCTTTTTAGTGAAGAATTTTACCTTAATTGTTTCCTAGTTCTATTAGGATTGTATTAGGTTTTATTTGCCTTTAAATAACGTTCTATTTCGTTGTAAAATTTCATAGTTGATTGAATTGAATAACAAACCGAGTGTTTAAGTTCTTGAGTTGCGTCTCGAGAGTTTTATTGGGTAAAAGTGATGTCCTCTAAAGAGCTTAAGATCAAGGTGAACCCAAAAGTAATGAGGTTTAAAGATGTGGGTGAAACGATGTCGTTTCGTGCCATGGTGAAGGCAAAGCTGAATTAGAGTGGGATTGTCTCTAGTGTTCTGGTTTGGTCTGATGGAACTCATCAAGTTAGGAGTCCTGTTGTTGCACATACATTACAACAACCTTCATTTTCTGGGTTTTATTGGGTACCAAATAGATGTTTTGTTTAACTCAAATATATCTATTTGTTGGGATAGGGAATAACGATGAACTCAACATGTCCAAAGCATGCATGTACTTCTGAGCCTGGATGTATTTTCTTATGACAAATTTAAAAGTACCAACATTGGTCAGGGATTCGAGATTGTATTAAGTTTTGGGGCTTCAATATGGGATCTATGTTTCTAGGCGTCCGAACTCCATAGTATTCTCATAAAGCTTCTTTATTTTGCAATGACAAACTTGAAAGATGCTTCAAATTCTATAGAGATATCAACGATACTTTGGACACGTGTCAATGAGCTTTTAGGTTTCTGTCGAAATCAAATAGCTGATAATTGAGTATCTTACACACATCTAACAGTTGAATGACCACGAGAGTGCAAGGAGAAAGTTGTGGGGATATCATTTTGAAGCTTACATGGACCTCAGATAACTTTATTGAGAGTAAACAATCATTCAACGACTTAGTAGGTATTAATTCTTTAAAGAAATAACTTAACCTTAGTAATAAGCTCGATTATGAAACTAAAAATTAGAAAGATACCAACTTCTCGATTTATGTCAATAGTGAATAGATTGTCTAGATTCAAAGGTTTCCAACTATATATTTCTCTCTTTAACCAAATCCAAGCGTTTTTGTCTACTGAAACTTGGGCCCACACAATCCTCTTAATTAAGGACGATCGAGGTGGACAACTTGATTCGGAAACACTGATAACACACCCTTGATACCTGTGACAAATGCATTTAGGATATAGCATCATATATCTCAAACTCTAAATATTAAATACTACCCAAAATTAATAAAATAAAACATAACAACTTACTTTCTAAATGCTTTGCTTCAGTTTCACTGAGTTTCGCTGCAAACCCACTTATAGAGCGATAGTCATAGACAAGAGATTCCTCTGGTGTGCTATATCAAAGACACAGACAGTCAAGAAAAAGCGTAGGGTGAAACAGGGTCAGAAATTAACCCTAGCTAGCCAGATGATTTATGAAGGAAAAAAATTTGTTACTACAATAATATTTTTTATTGTTGAAGCATACATGTCTTGAAGCACATTCTTGAGAAGATTTAGATGTGCAGGTTTGGTACTAGGTATAATCTGTGAATCCAGAAACACCAAGTAAACCTACAAAACAGAGGAGTTGAGAATTTTATGGATTGTAAAGTCTTACAGGAATATTGGACGATAAAATAATGTTTAAATTTTTTGTTTAACCGTGAATCAATCATTTCATATTGATAAAAACCTCCTATCAATTTAACGTCTAATAAAAAGTAATTTCAATGGGACCGCTGGTATGATACAATTTCACCAACATCAAACAATTTACACATTTGAAAGTAAAAGCCAAACTAATAAGTCAATAGATATGATTATCAACAAAAGGGGGGAATAAAAAACAAGATTCCATCTAATTGCTGGAACTTTACTTAACCTTACCTTCCTAGGAGTAATACTGGTGGCATGGCCATGAGTAATGGCAGTAGAAATGAAGATGATGATAAAGGTTGTTACGAGAGGGACAAATCGTAGAGTTTTTGCCACGGCCATTTCAGCGGGTGATAAACAAATGAACGAGTCGACTCTTTTTGTTCTTTTGTTTTGGTTTATGTTTATGTTTTTCCCTTTCCTTAAAATTAGATCGTATATATAATACTAGATAGGGAACCAAATTAAGAGTTATTTTGTCGTCACTTATGCAAATGTAGAGTATATAACACAACATTAAAGTGAAACATTAATAATGTTAATAATGTTGATGAAGAAGAGAAACTGAGAAAATTTAATACCCATCGCAAAAGAAAATTTTATACTCATCGCATATTTGTGCATCGTATTATCAAAACTATCAAGCGATTTGTGAAAATTTATGACTTTGCAATTGAATTAACGGTTATTATTTTTGTTTGGCCCGAATGTTACCACTCGATCAACTTATTTTGACTAAAAATATTCATATTTTTCACAAAGTGCCAATTTTCCTATTTAGTTTGAATAAAATAAAATAAAAATGTAATCACCTTTCTAAGGTTTGTTGTCTAGATTTTGTGATGTATTTTCATGACTTTGTGGTGTGAATTTTGTGATCCTCACCCCTCCCACGTTTAATTGCACAATACATATTGGTCCGCCTCTCTCTCTACCAATTTATCATAATATCAAGTGTGCCTCTACGTCCCATTTTCATTCATTAATTGTGGTAAACTCATTTAAAGTAAAAAATCATCAAACGAAATATTCCTATTAGTTGGACAAGTGTCACTAATACTTTTCCAAGTACATTTCGGTGCAATGCTAAGGAAGAGTAACCCTTGGAGTTGAATATCTTCTACCAATTAAGAATGCATATGTGCATAGTTTTTGACATAGCTAGAATTGGTTTATAGTCCACAAAGAGCAAGCACCCCTACACAGTCCCTATCCAATATTTCTGACATATTACTACAGCCACCACCAACGATTAGTACTGAACCAAAACTCCTAAACAAACAAAAGTAAAATCAAAAGCTAATTCATTAGGCCTAATACAAGAAAAGGGCCAATAGTTTAAGGTTTGGGTCACTTGTATTCCTAGGTTAATAACGGGTCACTTATGTCCCAAAGTTTATAGTTCTCATGTCAATTTTGTCCCCACTCATTTTGTTACGTTGACTGTTAGATTTGACAGTCAACTTAACGGCGGCTGTCAACAATTTGTTGACTTTGTGTCAATATATCTGCCATGTCATTGACTCATAAGAATATTTTTCAAAATTTAAATAAAAATAAAAAATTCACCCACTCAACATTTTTTGTCTATCCCAAATTAACAAATTCCCAACAAAGAACCTTTACATACCGTTTGGTATAAATGAATTCCATAAGTTTTGAGCAATTCATTTTGAAATGAAATATTTTTGTGTTTGGTATTAAAAAGAATTCATTTTCAATTCTAAATTTTGAATTTTACGGAATTGGAACTAGTTATAGCAATTCTGAGGAATTGAGATAGAATTTCCAAATAAATTCCACAAGTAATTATTAATTATAATAAAATGACATGATTATCCTCTTTTATTAACTAAATTACTTATACATAAGACATACCTAACACATAAATTAATTTGACAATGAATTCTACACGACACTTCAATGATTTGAATATAACACACCAAACATAGGATTTCATTTGACAATGAATTCTACGAGATAATTCATTTTACAATGAAATGAATTGTCGATTCATTTGGTACCAAATACTCTTGTTACTTCCATTCTTTTATCCTTAACTATACACACAGACATCGGAGGACGGCGTGGATTGGGAGTGGAAGCGGCGATGATTGATGACCTGTGGGTGTGTCGCAGCAAGGACTGGAGTAGCTCTGTGATGCTGTTGGTGCGGGTCTGCGAAGAAGAAAAAAAAAGAAGATATGATTCACTTTGGAAAAATGGAGTTGAATCGTTTCAGCGCAAACATGCATGGTGGCCATCACCGGCAACGAGCTACAAGCTGCCTCTAGAGGCGAGGCGGCTGATCACTGCGGGTCGAGCCATGACGCAGGGGAGGTAGCCGGAGCGGATCAAAATAGGAGGCCGAATCTAGATTTCTGGGTAGAAGCTCGAAGGTCGAATATGGAATGGGGAAATCGAAGATCGAAGGTCGAATCTCGTTCGTTGTCGATTCGAGCTCCGACTCCCCATTTCTCGTTCGCCATCGATTCAAACATGCACGATGGGAAAATCGAGATGCGTAAGCATTGGGTCAGATGGGGAAGACGATGGGTTTGGAATCAAAATATGGGTGTGGGATTCACATGGAAGATGGGGAAATCCAATTTGAGTGCCGGATCTGGAATCCAATTTTGGTATGGGGTTGAATTTAATATGCTTCCATGGATTCCTTGTTTCTAGATTTTCGTCTGAGGAAGACGATGGTACGAACACGAAGGAATGGGGGAAAATGGCAAAAATCCCATTTTCCAATTTTAATTGATATTTTTATTATTAAAATATGGAATTCTATTTTTGAAAGTATTAGTTTTTAGTTACTTTATATTAAATGATATGACAAAAAATCCACGTCATATGCTTCATCATCGGTCAAAAATTTGACTCTTGACTACTAACTATCAAAGTTAACGAAAATTAAATTTTGGGACATAAGTGATACGGTAAAAATTTAAAGGTACAAGTGACCCAAACCCTAAAATATTAGGCCAATTCATTATTATCTAGAAAATAATACGTCCAGGTGCTAGGTAGCGACAAATGCCCCGCCTAGGGCCTAGGTATACAATTATTCATTCAAACTAGGGGTGGCTATATCCTATATGACTCACTCCTACTGTCACTCTAGAAAATGGCCAAGTGAAACCACTTCCTAAAGCGTAGTATAGCGGGTTTGGGTTTTAATGTCAACCCGGGTCCTAGATGTGATGACTACTCAGTGAATTCTTATTATCTAGCGGTAAAACTTAAGTGCAGGTTCAAACAAGCAAAAACACAAAGCAAGTTAAACGGTTGTTTTCAAGTCTCGAGAGGTCATCCGGATATGGTTCCTAGGGATGGAAAATTACCCACCCATGGGTAATTATACCCAAACCCAATTAGACCCATAGATAATGGGTTGGGTATGGGTGAAGTGCATATGGATTTGGGGGTTTATAGATGGGTTTGGGTAAGGTATGAATATTGCTTCCATAATCTAAATGGGTATGGGTTGGATATGGATATCCATTAACTTAAGGGTGTTTTAACTACACATGCAAAAATTGGACCTATTTGTAAAAGTTGAAAAGTTTAGGTACCAAAATGTAAGACCAAAAAAATTTAGGTACCAAAACGTAATTTTTCATCGATATTTTGAGGACTTATATGCAAAAAAAATTAAATTTAGTTACTAAATATGCATATCTATTAAGTTTGAGTACCAAACTGTAATTTGTATTTGGGCATGAGTACAAACCCAAATCCATTTGATATAAACCCAAGTCAACCCAAAGTAAATGGGTATGGGTACAAACTCATCAAACTCTACCCATATCCATCTATTTGGATTTCATACCCAACCCAATTGGGTTGGATAGTAAGAAACCCATGGGTATGGGCAAAGTTGCCATCCCTAATGGTTCCCCCTAAACTGCTGTTAAGCCGGATTGCAATTTACCAAGTTCAGTTTCCATGAAAGTTAACTGCGGAAGGTTCTTAAACAGTCTGAAATCTCGACTAAAGGTTTACAGACCCTCTCAATCTGAGTCTCCAGCGGGCGACTAACCTCCACCAGAGTAAACAGATTGAGGCCCTAACGAACCAAACCTCCACTACCGAATTGAATTCGGTACAGAATAGCGAATTGGCTCCTCGCCTAAAGTCACCAATTCGCCACCTTCAATTAAGGGTGCTCTATCAACCTAGGTAGATATTCTCATTCTAGGTTAAAGCAGAAACAACAGGAATTTGATCAGGATTCAAGTCATTCAATCATTCAAGCCTCAATCGAATATAATCAACTCATGAAATCTGTACTTGGGTTCATACAATTAGACCTAACATACAAATCTAGGGTTCTCCAGACCCAGATGAATGGGAGAACTACTCCATGGAGAAAGAAGCAAAAGCAGATTCAGATGCGGACATACTGTGAAGGATGGATTTCAGCTCCTGGTCGTCGATCGGCACTTCTCCAAGCTCAAGCCGGGCTCCAATGGTGATGAAGATCAAGCTATGGCACTTGGAAACTCTTGTTCGTCGCTTTCTCTCTCTAGGAATCGCTCTCTCTCTCTCTCTCTCTCTCTCTCTCTCTCTCTCTCTCTCTCTCTCGGAACCCTTGATTCTTAGCCTTCTTTTCCCTTAAAAAGCTGCCTGTCGCAATACCCGGTCGAAATGCCCGGTCGGGTATTTCGGGTCTCGACCGGGTATAATTAAAACGCGCGTTTTGATGTCAGGGGAAAATCCCCGGTCTGTCCCAAGAATCCCCGACCGGGGGTTTTTTCCTCTTGCCCGGGCCCCCTCTGTTTCTCACGGGTGCCCAAAACAATAAATACCCGGTCGGGTATTTGAGCCCATGACCGGGTATTTTCCTCCTGCAGCACACTTCGACCCAACTTCGCCCTTTTCGACCCAAAACTCGTTTCTTCGCCTCGATTCCAACGACGGGCCCTGAAATATGACATAAACACACAACCTCGCGTGAAATCGGCTTAAAACACGAGAATCAACCTCTCAAACGGCTCAAGAATAGGGGTAAAAATAGTTGTAATTATTGGTCTATCAAACTCCCCCACACTTAACCGTTTCCTTGTCCCCAAGCAAACCTAACTCAAACCAATGCAACTCTCCAGACCTCTATAGCAACCAACAACCCCGATCATAGGTATAGGATTTCCTAGATCATTTAGCAACTTACGAGGTCAACCGGCGCACAAGTCATCTCATAGCTTCTTCGGTGAGAGCGCTAGTCTCGAGTCGGCATCATGGCAAATAGTGAACAGAGGACAAATGAATCGTGGGCGAATGGACTCTCAAAAACAAAAGATCATGGACTCACCTTTTTAAGGTGCTCTATTTTCTTCTTGAAGATGGTTGGAACCCCTTTTCTTTCTTTTTTTTGCTTGTTTTTCTGTTTTTTTTTCAAGGGTCCCACCCTGCTTTTCAGAAAATGGGGGCTCCCACCTAGCAGAGGTTTTGCGGGAGCCCGGCTCTTACCGGCCATGCCAGGAGCGGATGTCTCGAGTCTCGTGCGGGGGAAAGACATGTAAGGGGACTGGAGGTAGTAGGTGGAAATTGGGGACGGATTCCCGTCTCCCCTTACACACTTTCACCCTATTCGCACGGGAGACGTTATTTTAAAGCACATTTTTGAGCACCTTTTATTTTAAAACATGATACAGGAGTCCATGACAGGTAGAGAGTCCACATCACCACACAATTCAAGGGTCCTAAGATCACTAATTCACACAATCAACCAACACAATATGAAGAAGAAAGGAGACTTCTTAAATGCATCAACATCCTCCATAGTGCTACACTACCTCCCTAGGTTGCATATTACTAAAGAGACTGTCAATTCAAAGCATACTGAGCAGGCAATTGCAAGGAACACGTACTTGGAGCCCTCAAGGGATAGTAAAACTCCCTGGGTCCTTGCGCTTTTCGGGCAGCTTGTTCTGCAGGATAGCAGAACACTCCTCGCTCAGCAACACTGTCGAGAGATCCCCAAGTTTCTTCTTGTTGGTGAGGAGATCTTTCATGAACTTCGCGTACTTGGGCATCTTCTACAGTGCCTCCACAAACGGTATGCTGATGTTGAGCTGCTTCAACATTTCCATAAACTTGGCAAACTCAGTCTCCAGCTTGTCTTTGTGTAGGCGAGTGGGGAAGGGAAGCTGGGGCACATGCTCCTTAACCACTAGTTGTGGCTTGGGAGCAGGGGCTTCCTTCTCCACCCGCACTTCTGCATCGTCAGCTGGAAGTGCTGAAGTAGGTAGTGGTTCCTCCTGCCTGGCCAGGATCAGCGGATATGGTCTTACCGCTCCTGGTAAAAATGGCATCCAGCTGCTGGTGCGGCTCCCGTGGATTGGGGATGGTGGTGGTAGGTAGAGTCCCCGGTGCCCTGGTGTTGTTCTGACGGCTATTCCTCCAATCTGATGTTGGAGGTCCTGCAGTATAGCACCTTGGTTCCTCTGACCTGCCTCCAGCGAGGCGATGCTCTGGTCTATCTTGGCAAAATTTGCCTGGCTGGTAGTCATGAATGCCGCTAAAATGTTTTTCAGCTCCGTCATTTGATTATCTGGAGCTGGAGCTACTACTGGCTTGGCATATTGACGCTGGGGCTGCTGAAATGGCTGCCCTTGCCTAGGCTGGTAGGGCTGTTGCTGTGGTGGGGGCCCCTGCCTAGCCTGGAAGGGATGCTTCTGCTGAAAACCACCCGCTGGTGCTGGGAAACCAGGTGGTTTAGTGACGTTGCTGTTCCAGGCAAAGTTGGGATGCTGGCGCCACCCCTCATTGTATGTATTGCTATATGGGTCAAGACGCCGAGCATTGGCGATGAAGTCCACCTGTTCTTGGGGAGTAGAGGACTCCCGCATAGCCTGACAGTCCTCCACCAGATGATTCGAGCTCTCACACCACTGACATTGAGCTACGGGAGGTCCGCCCAGACCTCTGCCTGGAATAAGACTATTGGCTGCTTCAATGTCTGCACTAACGCAGCCACCTGCTGCTCGAGCCCGGATCTGGTCTCCATGGCGTGCACACAACGGTCCCAGGAATGTCTGCCTCTGCTGCTCTGCCCCCAGGAATGATCTCTTGCAGCCAATGTACTGATCAACTGGTTCAGTTCGGGTGGAGTCTTGGTAAGAATGTCCCCTCCTAGGCATAGAGACTCAATCACCCTCTGGCTTTCCGGAGAGAGAGCACTATAGAAGTTCCCCGCTATGAATGCATCACTAAAGCCATGATGGGGACACTGCCAGAAAAATCCCATGTACCGCTCCCATGTATCACGAAGTGACTCATCTGGCTCTTGGCGGAAGTGAGTGATCTCCCGCTGGATCTCTGTAGTCTTCGATGCCGGATAGTACCTGTGCACGAACTTGTCAGCCTGATCGTCCCAAGAGGTGATGGACAATGGGGGCTGGGTCTCCAACCACCTCTTAGCATTCCCCGGCAGAGAATGGGGGAAGAGGTGAAGGCGGATTGCATCATCAGGGACACCGTTCAGTTTGAACCCATTCGTCAGCTGCAGGAAACCGGATAGGTGCACCCTTGCCTCCTCATCCTTCAAGCCATGAAACTGGACAGAGGATGTAATGAGTTGAATCCAGCATGGCTTCATCTCGAAATTGTTCGCTGGAATGGACGGATAGAGGATGACAGGGCGGATTTCAGCAACCCGGGGAGTGTAGTAGTACTCCAAGGTGGGACCCGGCGGTGGTGGTGGATGATGAACCCCATCTGCCTGGGGTATGAGGTTGTTCCCCAAGACGTGATTTACCGGGGGAGCTTGGTGAGGATTCCCCTGGT